CAATGGCAGTGGCATTAATCAAAGCGAAGAATAAATGGCTTTTTTAGCTCCATCGATTGTTTGTCGTTTGGATACACACGCACCATTCCACTAAGAGCACAAACGAAAAAAAAGCATGGGATAGAAGAATATGATGATGAAGAAGATGGAAAATTGCGAAGTCTAGTAAAAAGTTCAATCTATGAAGGATAGTCGTGCCTACGGCATACAAAACACTCAATACTCGGCATATTATGAAGGTTAATGTTGGTGGATCAATTAAATTTCGTCTCTTTTTTCGATTCGTTAAATGCGGAAAATTGCTGAGAATTGATGGAAATTCTTCGAAATCAATGTTGATATACTTTGTGAGTAAGTGCAGAAAAGAAAAATAAGAAACATATAAGAAAAACAAAGATATCAAAATTTGTTTTCGTAAGCAAAGGAGTTGGTATGCTAATTGGGCGTGTTGTACGCATATTTTGTGTTCATTTACAACAAATCAAATGCTATTGCTTTCTGTTGTGATGTTACATCAATCCATTGCGGATCGAAACTCAAAGTAACCGAAAAACATTTTGACAAAGTCAAAATGTATTTATAATTTTGCGCTGTTCGGCTCTTAAGTTTGATGTGTACTTTTTGGTGTATTTCGCATTACGCAGATTATTTTACGTATTCTATTCCTCCTGGAGCTATTTCTAGTTCTAAATGAGCGTGTTGTGTGTTGGGCGCGTGTATGTACTCTTGACTTACTCCCGCATTGTCGACCCATACCAATCGCGTTGAGCTTTATACGTTATAATGATATATGTACATAATGACCCGAACAAAGTGACCCTTGCTTGTCGAAAAAGGAAAAATGGAATGAGAGAGAGAGGGGGTAGAAAGCAAAAAGCAGAAATGAAAGCAACCACTATCACAAAAAGTAATGGAATCAATCCGACCGACAGTCAGTCAAACTTGTTAAAGCGACAACGATGATGATAAATGTGCACATCGAAGTAAAAACTTGGAATGGAAAATCACTAAAAACGTACGACAAAATTACAATCTCGAAGTGTTTGTATTTGAACATTTCACGCGAATAAGTGAAACTCGGCAAGTAAAAATCTGCCGTTTTTTTTTCGCTTGCGCAAAAGAAATGTTTCGGATACTAAGCAATAAAATGTCATTTTATGTACAATTTAGTTTACTCATATTTGAGAGCCGACGATGCTAAATGCCATCGCTAAAATGTGCAATATACACACTTAACTCGATGGGTGAAAAAGAGAGTGTTGCGTGTGATGTTTTATGTTTGTTTTGTAGTATGTTGAAAGAGAAGTGAAAAACACTTATCGTTTAATGTTCGACTGGCAAATAATCAAATGCGCTACGATGGGCATGACCTAAAGTAGACTAGTCATTTAGTTTTTTGTTGTTGTTATTGTTACTTTTTCATTTCTGCAAAAGCGAAATGTCGTGATTTCCGTCAGTTTTCAGTCGTCCTACTCCACCACAAGCCACTTTCTCACCATTTTAACCGAACGAAATCACAGAAAAATATTCGCTTGCGACGTGCTTATTCTATGTGCTCTGGACATTTAATTTCAATGACGTCGAACATTATGTCGTTTATTACCATTTGTCGCTTTTATGGAAATTGCGTTTTTCGTAAACAAAGTAACAAAATTCTCCAAGAAAAATTTCGTAAATATTTTGCCGTAGGCACCGCACCGTGTCGCTTTTCAATTGAGATATTTTTGTAATTTTTAAAACCAACACATCAACACATTCAGTCACTCACATTGAAAAATAAGTTTAATTCGCCATTGACTCAGAACGCTTTTAATTTCGTGCAGTTGGCATTCAGCTGCCGAAAAAGTAATTCACTTTTTTGGAATGTGACCATTTCCTTTGGTTTGAGAGCAAAACGGAGAAAAAGAGAAATAGATGGGGAGTGAGGCTAGAGAGCACAATGTGCTCCAGAGGAATTCCACTGAAGGGTCAAATGTTTCGATAATTTGTTTAAATTTATTTGAAGATTTCAAGGGTTCACTCCACGGAATATTAAATTTCAATGTTGAAATGTTGCTCGACATTTCTCATTCAAAATTTAATTTTGAAACAATAGACCATCGAGTCAGTGAAACAGATTTCAGTCTTTGTTTTTGCGTGGAATGCGTTGAATGCAAGTTATAGAGAGAATAAGTGGGACTGCTAGAAATAGAGAGAGAGGTAAAAGAAACACAAATACACACAGAGTAAAAGATACAAAGATAAATCAACGCGTAGCTAAAGTCTGGAGCATTTTACTGGGATTAATAAAAGTAACATGATTTATCCAGATTTTGAAAATGCAACTATGTTGCAATTTCATGCCAAAACAAAACAATAAAATGTGTTCGTGTTGCGTTGGTTGCTTCGGATTTGTTACCATTTATTTAATTATTTAATGTCGACATACTCATTCTGTGCTGTAAATCATTTTAAAGTATAGAAATTCATTTCTTTAGTTTTCCGTGCTTAGCGAAGTGAACATGAAAACCACACCTTATAATGTATATAGAAGGGATTTATGTTGTCGTTTAGCCTTTTGACTCAAATTTCGAAATTTGTGTGAAGTAAATGAAGTTTACGTCTTTGTTGCATCTTTTCGAATGCACTCGATCGATCAGCCATTTTCTCATTTGGTGTGCGGCCACCCAAACGACAAAATCAAGGCATGTAACGAGCTGCTCTCTTACTTTGAAATAATTTCCCTTTTAAATCATAATAAAAGAACCATTACGATTATCGTATTTTGGCTTCAAACACAATGGAAAATATAACATTTTCATTTTCTTTCTTTTTTTTTCTCTCGCTCTTCCTCACTTCCGCTAACCCCCACTCCCTCAGTTTGAACAAATGTGGTTTTGATATGTTTACTCGTTGAATGCAAATGAATGCCATTCGAACAATCATAAAATGCATTTTTCATTTTGGCGCAGGCAAACGATATGTACGGTAGTAGTCAAATGAAAATCAAAGCTATGACCAGCGAATAAATATGCAACGAGATTCGATGCAGCATTTGAATTTTTGCGGCCATGAATCATTACTTTCATTTATGGGGCGCAAATGGACATATAATAACAATAATAAATAAAACGTAATTATTATTTTGCGTGTTAAACGTGAGCGAAAAATGAGAACGAGGAATAAATCGCAATTTTTATACCCGCAGCATTAAATCGAAAACGCGAATGTGATTCAGTGTCGTGTTACGACTTTTTCCCTGCGTCTGCACTTCGAATATTTACGAACGACAGATATATTCACTTGAATGAACAATTTCTTTATTATTTCGGCTTTTTTGTTCGGTCGTTTTCAACAACTGGAACCTTTTATTCTTTAAGAATTCTTTTGTTCATTTTGGTGGAAATTCAATTGATAAAAACAGTTAAGTAAGAAAGAATTGATGGATCCATTGTTTCACTTATTATTTTATCATTGAGAAAATTGACAGAGTAGTTCTCGTCGGGTACAGAAAATTAAATAATAAAAAAAATGAGGGAAATAGAGAAAAGAAAAATACTTTTCAATAAGACTAAAAATTAATAAATTATATTTCGTTTTTCAAGCCGAACGACAAAAGGAATGCGGTACACTTTCGTTCGTTCGCTCTTGCTACATATGTATAAGACTGTCTGCTTGTGTGACAGCAGCAATTTTCGCGCCAACGAACTGCATTAAAGTGATGAAAAAGTTGTTACTCATTTCATTTCACTTTGCTTGCGTATTTTTTTTTGTTACTGTCGTTTGCCTGGTTTTTATCATTCGGTGTGTAAATTTTCGTCTTGAATTATTGTGAAAATGCCCAAAAAAATATTGCCACGAACTCAGCGAAAAAGGGGGGAGAAAGGGTAAGAGAGAAAGAGCGAATGAAAAAGTAGTAGAAAAATACATCAGCAGGAAAGAAGATGGCAGGCAAACTAAACGGGAAAGTAGTGCACAGTATCTGGATTGAGTCCAAAATGTATTAAATAGCTCTTTTGTTATTTATCGATTGCATGCCAAGAATTTTTAGTTATAAAATAAGCGGAAGAAAAATAAGAGAGTGCCGTTTCAATATGGAACAATGACTTGAATGTGGAGAGTAGACAGAAGGCGAACAAAATATGAAATGAGTCGGAGGCAAAGAATGGTCTCAATGCTAGTCGCTCTTCGCGCGAGCACATTAAACGGATTCCGGTTATGAAATTGTTTTCTCGTTGAATACACATGCGAAGAATGAGTGTGAAAAATAAGAAGAAAAAAAGTATAAGAATGTGGAATCCATCGTCTTTGGGTGTTGGCTATCGATGATTTTCGACCCCTGCATCAACGATGCAATTTCACGTTGAAAAAAATATTTTTTTTTTTGTTCTACAAATCTCAGCATAAAAATGATTACTCGGCATGAAATAAAGATTTTCACGATGCTGAATTTTTCAAAAGAATACGGAAAGTTTTCACATCGCCAGATGGATGGAACAAACTTCGCGGCGCGAAATTCCTCGACAAAAACTTGAAAGCAAAATGAAATAAGCAATCTTACTTGGAAGAAAAATTGAAAAGGGAAACACAGACAAAACGTAGCTCCAGAAGATGGCAAAAATAAAGAATAAATTGTAAATGAAATATAAATAATTCTTAAAGTATTTATGTGACAGGCAATTAGACGTTTCACTGAATGCAATTCAGTTTATCAACATATGCACCATGTGTGGTGAAATGATATAAAATCTCATGCAGTTATGTAATAAAAGACACACACACACACGGAGAGAGCATGAGAAAGAGAGACAGACATTGTGAATTGCAATTTTAGTGCATGACGTGAATTCATGCCATCAAATAAATAATCATTAACACTTAACATAGACACATACACACCTCGAGAAATGTCTGACTGTTACATTATTTCACACAATATATTTATGCACATAATTTATACTCATTTAATTCACCCCAACTAATTTTTGAATCATTTTTTCTTTGTATCTGTCTGTTTGCAGGTGACGACACTATAATGAGAACGATACGTTAGCTTTGACTATGGGAACAGAGGCATGGGATTGTGTTCGGACCATTGGTCGTTATGGTGGTGTAAGGCATTAAGCCGATCGCGATCATTCGCCACAACACTCAATAACTACCTACTTACCATACTCGTTGTACTCACAACGATAAGCTACTCAAACGCTAATTCACTTCCAGGTAAGAAAACAAAACACCTTAACCTTTCAAAATTATTTGATTGATTTGTTAAATTCAAAAAAATGCATCATTATTTTCGGATTTACCCTTAGATTTATTCCATTTTTGGTTTTTGCTCACATAAATTTGTATTCGTCTTTTTGCAGAATATTCTGTATGTTATTGTTTTCTTCTTAGGCCGTCATTTATCTCTACCTTGTCTCGATTTTCACCTTCTTTAATTTGATTCGGATTTAAGCTCAATTTATTACCTCCAATTGACTTACTCCGTTCAATTAAACGGTGAAAATTTGCTTCGTCGAAAGAATGTAAATGATATCCTATTAAGCTATCATTATATTACAACAAGAAGGAACACTTGAGAATTAATCATTTCAAATCGCAAACCTACATAATTAAGAATTTTTACATGTATTTATTCGCTGTTGTATGAAAACGTACATTCCGTAAACACTTTACAATGTGTTGCTGTAGCAACATAATTGAAGTGTAATTCCTCCGCAAAATGTATGCAAAAACTCAAAAGAAAAACTACCAAATTCTTACCAATTTCATTTTTTTTTTCGTTTGCTCACGAAGTTGCATACCTCGCATGTATCAAAATCTCTATGATACTATGAACGAGAGAATATTCTATGTAGCAAGTTTGTAGTGCATCAATATTGAATTGCAAATGAAATAATCCGAAGGTAAGAAGATAAAATCGGTACTTGGAGAAAATTTCTCGCTTTCTCAGTCTAATCAGATTTAATGTGAATTGTTGCACCCCTATGCCAAACGAATTTTGGAAAATAGACGCGCGCGCTCTCCACACAATCTCTGTGTATGCTTACAATTACACATCAGAATCGTGTAATGCTGAGTACACAGAAAAAAAAATTAAGCCACCCATAAAATGTACTACCTCACCCAAAAATCGCATTCATCTCTCGGAGAACGAACATTGTGTGCAATCACATACATATATTGTAGTATGCGCCGAATGTTGATTGTTGCACACCTCTTGAATAGTAAATGTACAGCGGTGTGGAATATTTTGGCGCATTTTAAGGAATTCCGTTGTGAATGGTGGCAGGAAACGAACCCAAAATAGCGCACTGAAGACGATGCTTCTATATTAAATTAATCGAATAATACTAAAAGCTTTAGCTCATTTCTGTATTTAGTTGTCACACGAAAAATAAATAATGGTTCATACACACTCTTTCGTTAACTCTCATCCTCTCTCTTTATGCTCTGTTTGTGTGTGTGTGTGTCATCATCTTTTTTTCTTTCTTTTTCTCGGTTATATCAAGTGTGCCAAATCCAGCATTGTGTATATGCGCGCACTTAATACTTTGCATAAAGTGCATATTGACTTACACTCATGCATGCAACCATGACTTTAACGTGCTGTATGTGTGTTGTACAAGCATGTATTCAATTTTCAAAATGAATGGCGTAAATTAAGGCAGTAAGAATTTTGGTGCACCAAACAAGTAAGAGTGAATGAGAGAAGGGTTGAGGAGAGAGAGAGAGAGAGAGAGAGAGACCAAGCGTGCACTGCTGGGTAAAAAATTCGAGTATGTATGGTGTTCCACTTGTGATGATATATTCAATGGATCAACAGCAACAAACATAGCCGCAGAGAGTCAGCAAACGAACGAGAAGTGTATCAAAGTATAATCACTTGGTGCAATTGCCTAGCCTAGCAGTCATCGGACAGCGAAAATGTTCACATTTTCACATGAAACCGCGTGTGTACCTTTCTCTCTCTCTCTCTCTCTCTTTCGGTATTCTGTGCACTACATTAATTTTCGTGCAGATGGCTTGTGCAAGTGGAATGTTTTATTAAGTACTTTTTTAGTAGCTTTGTGTTGCCATGTGAAAAAGCATCCCGTACACATAAATACACGCAGGAAGCACCAAAATTCGTAGGCCTCACTCAATCCATTTACCACTTTAGTTTCATTCTATTTTTTCCCAAGTTTTTTTTTTCGTCGTTCACCCTTGCGATACTTTTCACTTGAAAATCAGTGATGAATAGTAAGAGCGAGGAAAAAAGGAACGAATGAGTAAAATCCGCGTTGTGCTACATTTTTCTCATGCGAAATTTTTGTATTAATACTTTTCTTGTCGTTGCTTTGTGCCCTCATTCATTGTCTTTCATTGGCATGAATGGAAGCAGCGGCAGAAGCTGCACTAGTAGCAATATAAAAAATGTCCATAAAATACTTGAGAATAGAAATGCGGCGATATGCCCAAAAATAAAATCAACACACAGATACAAACAGTCGACGAACAACGATGGATTAATATGGAAAATATTTAAATGTAAGCTTGTGCGGCGGCTGTTTCTGTCGCTGTTTTTGTACATTTTAAAACATTTTTCCAACGATACACACTTACATACACATGTATGCCACGACACAATTATTATGTGTACAGCATACAACCTAGATTCAAATTTTCGGTTTTTCACTTTCGAACACCATGGTAATACGCACACGTACCCCGAGAGAAACTTTCTCTCTCTCTCTCTCGTTCTCTGATTTGTTACACAATGGAAAATACGAGTATACACACAAACTTATGACTATTATCGTTGCTTCATTATTATTTCGCAGCATAATATGCTCGAATAAACATTTCACTGTGTAATTGCATAAATACATTAATGTTTAATGTTGTCTGTCAATTGTACAATGAAGCAGCAGTGGCAGCAACACCAACTTTGCATTCATCGAGTTTCAATGTTTTTCGCATGTTTGCAAATGCAAAAGAGAATGGACGGAGGCGGCAGTGACATCATCCATCTACGTTTTAAGTTTGCTCTTATACTTTTACGAAAATTAGTCATCCTAAAAGTGCATTGTGTTGTATTATGACAATTCAGAGCATTCAGTTGCCACAACGATTAAATAAATTGCATGTACGACAAATAAATATGCGCCGGGATAACTATTCGCCAATTTAACAAGATAGATCCAATGCAAATGCACAACAGCAACAGCGAAAAAAATAGTAATGTAAACTTACAATCACTGTGAATGGCTTAACAAATTGTTGAGTTGAGCGAGAGTGGGTTCATTACGCGCTAACGTTTTTCTTCTATTCAGATGCGCTGGTTTTCGTGACATCATTATTGTTCGTTGAATAGAAGCTGATTTTGTTGACGATATTCTGAATTCGCTTGTTGTCCTGGCGTGCGCATCTTTTGTTTATAAATGTAATTTAAAATACGCGCCTGGATGAATTCTGGATTGGTCACGATGCAGAGGAAAACTGCTTAAAATTTTATAAAATTATATAATTACCTATTTTAAATGCAAAATCTCATTTAATACAACAACCTGAAATATACTCTCTCGTTCGGGATTACCCACACAAAAAAAAAATGAACGCAAATGAGCTCGTAAATTCCAGAGCAGCTTCGGAGAGTCGATAAATGACACTCAAACACATAGAGAGATCGAAAGAGGAAGGAAGGGCACGAAATGTGTTGGTGTGGTGTCCAATTGAGATATAGGAATTAACGAATCTAACCGACAATCGCATTCCATAAGCAATGCTAAAGAGGATTTTGGTGCCAACACAATAGCGAAACGACAACAGCAGCAAATCAAAGCGGGTGAGATGAATACCCAAAAAAAAACATTGTATGTCAAATTCATGAGAAATTGCTTCGTACTGATAACTGATCTCCTGCTTAATACCAAATGAGGACGAACACTATTTATTCATTTTGTCCGCGTTGCGCTTAACAATTCATTAGTGCATTTTCGTTGTAGAACAACAAACTTTCTATCTGTATCTCGCTCATTCGCCCGCTAAAATACTGCGATATCATGAACGAACTTGAGAGAAGAGGCCGCGTACGCAAGCGAACAAAAAAAAAACACATTAAAATGCTTTCGCATTTATATAGTTGAGGTTATGCTCGACAACAAATTCAGTTCCCTTTATTTACAATGGCATTTTATTAAATGCTATTAACCTGATTAAGTTTTTGTTGCGCTGGATGCTCTCTGCTACCGCTATTTGTACTACTTACATTATTGTTTGTCTATGTATTTGTATATAGACATGCTTTTTCATTCGCTCTCCATCTCTGTCCCTCTCATCATTCCGTATCTTGTCATCATCACTGCAGCTGCTGCTGTTGCCGCCAACTTGTGTACCGAAAAGATGAAAGAACTTTCGATGCCTTTAAGCGATTGCTCCGGATTAAAATGTTGCAATTTTGAACGTCATGTTAAGTTCATTGCGAACGAGAAATTATCATTTTTGACGGTTACTCCACCAACGTACACATCAACAAATACAATGCCACCACCACAAAAAAAGCTTTAACCCAAATTTTAATGTGATTCCAGCGAGCGTGCATACAGAATTTTGATTGTGATGTGCTCATACAATGCCATCGCAGTCACACATTTTATTAGTGAACAAAACTTATTTACCGAATTTATGTGTGTAGGAGTATGTATGTGCGTTGTTTGTACATGGTACGTACAAAATGGATTGTGCATACTTGGTGCGGAAATCAAAAAGAAACGCGCAGACCGACCGAGATGAACGGCATCCCATATAAGCTTAAAACTCACGCAAAAAACGGCCCAGAAGAAAAACTGGAAAAAATACAGAGAGAAAGAGAAAGAGATGTCATACCATCGCACTGATAAAAAATGACAACGGCAAATTGCTAAGCCGGAACGAAATTAGTTCGCGCAAAGTAAAAGTATTTTTATTGGCAGACAGCAAAAAAAAGTTTGTTATTTAGACATGCGGTTAAACCGCCACTCACACGCTCATCCTCTCTCTCTCTCTCTCTCTCTCTCTCTCTCTCTCTCTCTCTGACACTATTTCGCATACGTTCGCTTATTCATTTACTCGTTCGCTTTCGTCTTATATGCCACACATATAACGAGTAATTTTCATTGTTTCCGTTGCTGTTCCTCTTAATTTCCACATTCCTGATTATGCTAAATATATACGTGCAGCACGGATGCATACATGCA